CGAGCCGGTCTACCGAAAAATCAATACTACTATTCGATTTTTGTAGGTGGGTTGTATTCTACTAATTGCAACAAACCTGACTTGAGAGTCTGTATATAAAAATTCCAAATATATATACATATATATATATCCTTGTAACGGCTCTGTGTTTCTTTTCCACTGAAATTGAGGAGTTTACAATAGTATGTCAGTACTATACAAAGGAATATGATGTAGATTATAAGAACGCCATCATCGATCCTGAAGACGATGGTTGATCGAGAATCAACCCAAAGGGTTCAGGTATTGCTCCTCCAGATTAGTCTTTCGAACCACCAAAAGACAAGGGTTTTGTGTCAGGACCATGCTTATATGAACTCACTGCATTATGAATACAAACTGCCTGAGTTTCAGAATTTTGTTTTTGCTACCGATAGGTCCACCAAACTGAAACGGACCCGATGAAGGAATCGAACAACAAACGAGGGATCGGGATAATTCGACCACATTGCAAAGATGTTTCAAAAGTCACAACAGGATTGCTGAGACGATGTAAAATCCCAGTCATTCATTAACCGCTCTTTTGATAACTGAAGGAGAAAATACGGACAGAAAGAAGCTGTAAAGATTACCGGGAGCACGATAGAAGACAAACCAAAGCGAAAGAGCCTCACGGACACCAACTGGCAACCATGAGGCATAACCCACTCTCACTTGTTTCACTCCATGCAGATCGAGAAAGACAAACATTTTACTTGGGATCAATGATAGTCATGAACATAGTTCAACATCAGGGAGATTCCTCAGGTCTTCAAACAACTCAAAGGGTAGGCTGATCGATCTGGTTCACGTGTGCATCCCGACCCTAATCAATAATCATGCGACAAAGCAGCAGCCCATTTGCGAACCGAGAAAGACCCAAAGGATCGCATGCCAGACGTCAAAACAAGCATTTCATGCTTTTCCGAATGCAAACCCAATGGAAAACAATAAAATTACTAATAAACCGCGAATCTTGAAAAATGTGAATATAACAACAGGAGAACAAGCCGAACCCGAATACCTGGTTGTTACACGTACTGCAACCTTTACTTTAACTGCTAATGAAGCATTCACACATCTCTCTCCCTGCAAAACTTAAAATCTTTTTGCAGTGTACTATTTTAGCCAATGTTGCGTTATATTCACGTATGACTATTGATTGCCGTATTCCATTCACTAGTGAACATACTGGTTCCGTTCAGATATCAGATCAGAGTTCAGAGTACTCCGATTATGCATTTGAACTGACTATCCTTCAAACTTCATCTGGAACTGAGGAAGGTGAAGTTCGAAGGATAGTCAGTCCATATCAATAGCACTTAGTCCACACCCTTAATCATAAGTAACTATGAGTTAACTGTGAATACTCTGATTATGTCCCCATCGTGCCCATCGTGGTGTAACTGACTGGGAGCGCAGGATGGCCATGATGACGGCAACTATCATATTAGTTATTTATAGATGACCCCATTTGTTTCTCTTCGCCCAGAGGCGAATGGAGGATAGCGGAAGTGCTGCTTCCTGTTAACGCATCAGAGAAATAAACAGACTGGCAGGGTTCAACTTATATTTTGGCACATCTGTCTCACATCTAACCGCATCATTTGCCCACCACTTTACCATTGTCACCAAGTGCCATGACACACGATGCAAACAGCTGCAAAACATGCACATTCGTGCGTCCGTACTGTGCAGTTATCGTACTATGATTGGTTCATAATGAGGACAGTGAAAATAATTTGTCCTCTCTCTCTCCCTCTGTTTCAGGATGGTGGATGAGTAGGAGGGAATCAAGAATGTGGACAGATAAGGAACGGCATGGTGTGACAACATTGTCGAGTGCTGTTTCTACCATGTGTGTGTGCACCACGTTGCTTGATCTCATGTTTGACGATAAGCAGCAGCCTGATTCGCATTCTCTAAATGCTTCCTTAGTCAGGTGATTTCCCTCTCGTACACATTCCCTCTCCTTGTGTGTATGTGTGAGAGATTGCGAACAAATGAGCGGATTGCGGACCCAGCTTGGTATGTCTATCTTCAGCTGTCGGTGAACGTTTAGAAACATTCATGCTTGCCCAGAAACACGTACGGTGAGCAGGGAGAGAGTGTGTGAAGATGAGGGTAAATTGCCATTTGAGCACAACTGGCTACACAATGTGGGATGTGTTTCTCAACACACCACGTTATCCCATTCCCCTTTCTGCATGCTCACCTTCTCATGGGGAGCGTAGCTAGGTACAGCAATGGCTCAGTCACAGAGTGCATCAATAGATGAGTAGTTCACCAACATGACAGAACGAACGAACGAACGAACTATAGCAAACAGACGAACCAACTAACCAACCATCCAGTCGAATGGGTAAACAGGCAAGCAAGCGGGTCAGCGGACGGGCTGATGGGCAGACAAGCTGCGAACAAGCAAAATCTGGGTGGTTTGAACAGAGTGAGAACAGGCGAGAGAGCACACACGCGCACGCGCACGCGAGAGAGAGAGAAATTGAGAGAATGAGGAAAGCGCTCACCGGTGTGNTGGCCGCGGGAAGTGGGGGTGAACAGTGTTTCCGATAGCTTGGTTTGTGGGTAGAGAAAGAGAGCTCAGAGATGACCTAAAGATGAAGTTACGCCTGCTACGGAATGGGTTGTAAACTATTACCGGGATACACCACTCATTTGCTGACATCGCGCATTCGAGTGCAGGAGAACACTTGTTGCATCTATTGACTGGCATTCTCATTGCAATCTATTGATAATGAGAGGAAATATGGCAACTGGAGGATTTATCAATTCACCACTGATGAATTCCCACTCAAGTTGTTCAATTCAACCATATTATCATTCTCAATTACATCCTTCAACTGCATCTCCGTCCCACCAACAAACACAGCAACAACAACAACAACAACGACAGCAACAACAGTATCCCACCTCCTCGGTCCATATTATTCAAAATGGGGCACAGAATGGAACTGCAGATTCGCAGTGTACACAAACTACCCCTATCCTTCCGTCGTCTTCTTTCATGTTGTCTTCACTACAGGCAATTTGTCAACTCCGTTCATTCATGATTCATGATATTTTATCCAAATCGGAGATGAACGCATTCCAAGCAGTTGTGCCTAATAATCACCCGGCTCGAATAGACTCATTGCCGAATCGGGGGGACCCAAGCCGGGACAATTCGCCTTCGATTTCTTCGCATGCACGACTATCTGCTAATCCGGACAGTGTCCCGGATCAGGATTCGTTGGAAATAACAGGTTGGTCTCGTTCTCTGATTAGATCGTTCGGATTTTGTGATCGCAGAAGGCGAGACATGTTACGAAAGTGGTTTCCTTAGACAAATGTGTGATGCAGCGTTCGGGATAAGGACTGCTTCCTCACAATCCGTAGATGAATGACCCCGTTGAAAGGCATCGATAAAGAGACGTACCACTGTCTCATTAGTTTAGAATCCTTGAATCACTAAAGATGGAGCGTCATATATCTGTCTGAAATAGAGTACCGATGCAATTTAGGACGGTCAATCTGGATTGGGCATGCGATTTATAGTAACTCCAGTTAGGTTAAATGTATTCTCGTCCAGTTCATTCGGATTTGCGAACATCAGAGTTATGTGTGCTGGGATGCACTACTCGGGGTCTGTTGTGTTCTCATTTGCCAACATCCTTCAATTTTGCCTGTTAGCCAATTTAAAGTACTGGTTTCGTCCTTGTTGGAACTCAGGTTTGCGCTGGCATCAAGCGGAGTCCACGACAAAGTAAATTGTTCAAGTCGCCTAATGTGGTCGATTTAGAGTTGAAGTTTATTTACTTCAGTTGCACAGGTGCGTAGGTAGTTTCCGTGTGTGAAGTTGAACACTACCGATGTTCCCATTTTTTTCACCGTTGGTATTAATGAAATGATTCTCATGTCTGCATCCGGTAAAGCTTAAACAACGAAAAATATCCTTGGGTAGATAAAAGCTAACGTCCAGTAATGAATTATAAAATTTTACTACTGAAATTCTCCAAGGTGGGAGTTAACAATGTCGTGAATGNGTGAATGGGATCATATAGGTAATTCGGGTTGTACTCACTGATCCATCCATATCAGAAAATATGGGAGCTATCAGACTAAGCACCTGTAGTTGAGCTCGCAATGTATTTAATAGTATAACAGTGAAGAAGCCTAGCTAGTTGGACTGTGGTAGATGTCAGTTCGAAAGATGATACCAATCAACTTTCTCATCAAGCCATGGAAACTATTCTGCTGAGAATTTAATTATTTTGCTGACCGGTCATTTGAGAGTTAGGAACTTCAGTTTCGTACAACCGGGTCTTCCCAGTCACTGATGTATACGTTTTATGAAAGACTGGTAAATATCTCCATTTTTGATTGGAAGAAGCATGCCGCGATCATTTCAATTTGACGGGTAATACGTTCACGGAGTAGGTAATAATTTTTCTAGCACATCATATTGCCACAGATTTCGTACGGACAAAATTTTCATTTTGGCAGTAGCAAAACATTAGACGATAGTGTCCGGAAATTCATTAAGTAGCAAAACACAGCCAAATGTGAAAAGATCCGGGTTATTGGTGTGGCCTTTTAGTTCAAATGGTTGGGCGAGAGTTGTACAAAAGCGTAGGCGGCGTCCTTGCGCGGGTTCAAATCCCACAGGGGTTGCTGAACCTTTCCCAATCTGAATAAAACACCCCAATCGGCCAAGTAACCTAATTTGAATCATTCTTCAATCAGTGTTCTTGTTGCGTTATCAGGTTGGCGACTAACGGCCATGGTAGTGCGAGACCGCTAACGTGATTGTGTAGCACGATCACCTTCACACTAGATTATAGGCAACCTCGGATCTCCTATGATTTTAACCCAATGATTGTATGAATAGGAATATGATTTAAACATGATCGATTGACGATACTACGAATTACATTCGTGTTGCGTTACAATGGTACATAACTACCGTAATTTGTATGTTGCCCAGACCAAGCTAATTTCCTGTGGATATTCCACCCGACTGGTAAATCTGAGCGTCAAAATAGAAAGGTGTATGAGAATGCGAGGCTATTGTTTGACCTCATCTCCCAGATGAACTCAACACTTCTATGAGCTGAGGTAAAGAGATGTGAAGTTCCAGTTGAACTTTGAGAATTATCAGTCACACTAATTATATCGTCCATTTAGCGTCGTTTTGGAGCAAACACTGTTTCGGTCATGGACCATTCTCGAGTTTAGTTATGAGCAAATGGAAGGTCCATATCGACAGAGCGCTTCGGGCGATATAGCACATCATCGCAGATAAAGTAGCTTTGGGTTTTAGATAATGAATGTTGGGTTTACCCGTTCGGCCATTCACATGCACCAGGTACTGTTGATGTTCTTGAGTTTGGGTTTCACTCCTTGCTAGGTACAATGAAATGCCTTCCCATTGTGAGAAATGAACGATCTCCGAGTGAGTAGAACCCACACGTAAAATCATGTATAGTGCCTGGTGCATGTGTAAAATATCCAAATGGACTAATCCAAATATTTATTGTCTGAATTGATTGAGCCATTCGCACACGGTGGTCATCGTTGACCGTTTAGCTCGGAAGTAAGGGTGTCGAATACGAACCCGAAGAAGGTTCGAGGTTCAAGTCCTGACAGGGACACGAAAGTATGCACTATTGACAAGTCCCTTACAGTACCGAACAGTTGTTCAATGCTTTTTTCAATCATCACAAAGATTTCTAGTCTTTGAATTTCTCTAACGAATACCTTGATGCTTGTTGCCGTTTTTCCGTTTGCAGTGACATAGGAAATCAGTTTTTTCTCCACGGGGCACATTAGCGAATAAGGATACCACGTCTTGCGGGAATATCTTCTCTCGTGGTAAATTCAAAGTTTGTATTTACTGACTCTGAGAAATAACAGAAGAAAGTACCGGCTTTCAGGGAATATGTGCACACAATTTACCAGTGATTAGATTGTTACTCATCAGAAGAGGAATGCAGAATGAAACCAGAGAATTTTCGTACAAATTTATCTTGGTGGGAATAATGCGGAGCGCTTAGTGACTTCTAGAGCTAGAGAATAATTTCAAAAGACATCCGTAATAAGGATGGATCGGATGGTAAAAGCGAGAAGTTTTAATAAATATTTCTTTGTAAATCACATGCATTGAAAGTCCCTTAAATGCCAGGATAGAGATAGTATATGAAAATGAGTGTTCTACTGGATAACAGTTGGAAACCTCTCTCTGCTGATGCTGGAAAAATTACCGTGGGTTGATGATTAGCACCGGTAAAGCGTATTGGCAAGCACAGGATGATCCTAAAACGAGGCTATGAAGAAATTTGATAGCTCGTGTGGACTCAACAGACAATATGAGATGAGCACTCAAGAACAGTCCCAGGTGTCATTCAGACGAACTTCGTGGATTCTGCTCTGCGTGATTGAAAGGTACGAGTGTTGAACAGATCGTTCAATGGAAATGAACGAGACCGGGTGGAAACAGGTGGGCCACTTATATTTATCTTTTTTTATTTCATTTTATTGAAGGCATACTGGCGCAATTTTCAGGAAGGACAAAGTGATCAATCAAAGACCTGCGATACCTCACACAGAGAATGGGGAAAATCAGGCTTTCCTGATGGGATTCAAACACACGTTCTTCGGGGTGATCATTTGGTAACCTTTACCGTTTGATCACCACTAAGAGAAACCAGAAAAATCTCCTTCCATCCATGGAACTCCTTTGTGTGCTTTAAGATTAGAAGAAAGATCATTAAAGTCTTCTTGAGTTAATATAGAAGTACACTGAGTTACATACTAAAAATGAAATGTTTTGTTGCTGATATATGTGATCATCTCTCTGTGGTTGTGAATTTGCAAACTGCAATATTTTTATCACTCACAGTCAGTTGTTTCAACGGTAGTTCAATAACAATTTGCCGTATTTTAATTTCATACTCTATCGATCAATAGATCGACTTTAAATCTGATTTCGGCTGACGATGCTTGCCTG